CGGGTGCGTTCCTGGGTGCCTCTCCTCCCCCCACCCCCGCACCCTCTGAGGATCCCCCGCCGCCCCCGAGGTGCCGGGCTGCTCACGGGGGGCTGCACCGGGTCCCCCCCAGCCGCGCCGTCTGTCGCCCCAGGATGCGCCGTCCCATTGAAACCTCGTAAACACAGGAAGGGCCGTGCCGGGCTGGCGGTGCCGAGCGCGTCCCCTGGCACCCGGCCTGCCCCCTCCTCGCCCCCCCAGCCCCACGGGGCCAGGGACTGCTCTCTGGGCACCTGCTGCCTCGCCCCTTTCCCAAGTGGGGTGTCAAAGGGCCATGCAGCGCCAGGGTCCCCGACACCGGTTCCCCGTGGCTGTCCCCTCCCTGGGCTGCCGCAGAAGGATCCCTCCCTACCCAGAGTGGGGTCCCCCCAGCCCTCTGGTTTGCAGGGGAGGGGATGGAGGGATGCCCTGGCACTGCCTGGAGCAGGGGCACAGTTAAAAAGCAATGCCGCCGTGCTGCGCAGCCCCTCCTGACTCCCTTCCTCTCTGGTCAGGCACTGATTTGGTGTGTGTCTCTCAGCGGCCATCACCGTGGCCTTGTGGCTGGGTGGCCGCAGGGCTGCCCTGTGGCTGGCCCCAGCTCACGGCAGTGCATGTGCCGGTGTCTGTCACTGCTTGCCTGGTGCCTGCCTGCAGCTGCCGGGAACGCCGCGTCCCCAGCCATGGTGGCAGCTGCCCTGGGATGTCCCCACTGTGCAGTCCCTGTCCTCCCCAGCGGCAGCTTCGCGGGGCCCTGGCTCAGCCCCGCTCCCTGCCCAGCTCCTCTGACGGTTTCATGCCTGCAAACAAGCTGTAATTTAGGTCTAAAAATAAGCGAGGGGGAAGGTGGTGAGCTGGTGGTGCACCCGGCGCAGGGCTGGGTGCAGGTGAGGGGCTGTGCCAGCCCCGGGGCAGCAGCGGGTGGGGGTCCCAGCTTGGCCACGGGGGTCCCAGCCCGGTCACAGGGTCCCTGCAAACCTCAGCACGGTCTTGCAGGAGCGATGTGGAAACGCGGCAGATTTTGTTCGTTGCTCTCGTCCCGCTGTCACCCCACACGTCTGGGACCTCTGGTGTGTCCCCCTTGCTGTGCCACCCGCGTGGGTCACCGGGACTGACCCAGCCCGGGCTCCTGCCCACGTCTCTCTCTTCCCACCGGCATCTCTGGGGGGCTTGAGCCCCTGTCCGGGACTGCCTCTCACTTTGGGATGCCTCTCATTTTGGGGTGTCTCTTGCTGTACAGGTTGGGGTGCCATCCTCGGGGATCCCTGGGGCGGGGGGATGCAGCCCGGAGCCTGGTGGGGTGCAGCACCCTCCTTGTGCCACATCCCTGGCGCTAACCCTGCCTGTACCTCTGCCCTCAGCCTGCCTCTTCCGCTTCAACGTCCTCTCCCTGGTGTACCTGCTCTTCCTGCTGCTCCTGCCCTGGTTCCCGGGGCCCACCCCGTGCTCCGCCGGAGGTAAGGGGCTCAGCCTGGGGTGCGGGGACTGGGCAGGGCATGGCGGGCAGCGGGGTGGGCAGCGCGCGGGCAGCTCTGGCCCAGGGAGCTGGGCAGCACGGGGGCTGCCGGCCGCTCTCCGGCAGGTACCTGCCTGCCTTCCCCTGCGGTTTCCCCCTGGCTGGGCAGCGTGGCTCTGCGTGGCAGCCTCGCTCTGTTAATTATAGCCCGGCGCGGCTATTAATAGGCCTTCAGCTACAAAATGGCCAATTTTGAGCCCCAGCCTTATTAACCAGAAACCTCAGGGCTGGGCTGTGCCCGCCGGGTGGGCAGGGATGTACCACGAGCGGCCCCTCCACCCTGGCCGGGCACATGGGGCACGTCCCCCGCGGTGGGCACACGTGGGGGTGCAGGGGATGCGTCACCCGTGCTGGGTGCGTGGGACATGCCCCCACGGTGGGCACCGGGTGCCCATAGCCCTGCTGTCTCCCTGCCCTCTGTGCCAGGCTGAGCCATGCTGTAACACAAGCCGGCAGCGCCTGGCATGGCCGCAGCTAAAAGCTCTGCCCTCTGAATATTTCATGGGCTTGCACGGCCCCGCAGCCCGGCCGCTGCCGAGAGCCTTCGCGTGGATTTACAGGAAAAAACAAGCAGAGGGAGAGTTTTTGGCCCGGGGCCGCTCCCCGGCCAGCGTGCAGCTGTGGTGGGCTCGTTGCCTGTCCCCTGGCCAGGAAAATGGGCGTGCGGCCCGGGGAGCCGGGTGGGATGGGGGCACGGCTGCAGCTGGTGGAAGGTCTGACGGGGCTGGCAGTGTGGGAGATCCCTGGCACCCACCCGCAGCCTCGCCACGGGATGTTCCACCAGGGATGGGGATGGGGAGCTGCATCCCGATGCCGGTCCCAGTGCAGTGGGGCTGGGAAGCACTGGGTGCCAGCTAGGTGGGAGGGTGCTCCCAGGGCCCCGGCTCCCTGCATTGCCCCGTGCCTCAGTTTCTCCAGTAATGCCACAGAAAGGGTGCTCTTAGGCTGTGCTGGGTGCACGGTGAGACATGCAAGGTCCTGGTGGGACCATGACCCTGGGGCAGACCCCTGGCATCTCTGGGCACAGCCGCAGTGCACCCCTTCCCAGCTCTTCCCGGGGGTGCTGGGTCCCCGCTGAGGATGCTGGTGCATTCCGGGGTCACCTCAGGCGATGGGTAATGGGGTGCCTGTGTCTCGCAGGTCACACCGGCCGCCTCCTCAAAGCTCTGCTGGGGACCAGCATTCTCTTCCTCCTTGCCCACTTCGTTTTCCAAATATGCCTGTACACGCTGCCCATCCTGGACCAGCTGCTGGGGCCCAGCTGTGAGTACGGGGTGCCAGGGCAGCCTGCCATGGGGGTGCCCACGCCTGCCCTCGCCGTCCTGCACCTCTGCTCTCCCAGGCTTCACCCCCTCCCTGCGGTGCCCTGGGGCTGGACCCCCAAGACGGTGACATATGGGTGTGGGGATCCCATCCTTCTGGGTGCTGGGGCGCTGCTGAGGCTCTGCGGGGTCCCAGACATCTGCCCAGCACTGGGGGCAGGCTGTGCCATGCCAGGGTGTCCGCTCGGTGGCCGCTGCACTGGGCAAAGTCCCCGTCCTGGGACCCCATGGATGTGGGGCGTTCTGCCCATGGGGAAGCCACCTGCTCTGGGTGGGCTCGGAGCCTGCCCGCGCGGGCTCTGCCACACTCAGCACCTCCCCGCTTCCCCGCAGGCAGCACCTGGGAGGTCCTTGCCCGGCACATCGGGGTCACCAGGTAAGGGTACGCCGGCGGCGTTGGGCTGGGGGCTGGCAGTGGCGGAGGGGACACCCCTGAGCCCTCCCCTGCCCCGCTCTCACCCCCAGGCTGGACTTGAGCGACATTCCCAACTCGGTGCGTCTCGTGGCGCCCGATGTCGGCATCCTGCTGGTCTCGTCCCTCTGCCTGTGCCTGTGCCGCCGCCTCGTCCCCAAGGCTGGCGCTGCCGCCCGCGGCCGGAGACCGGAGTCCCTGGAGCCCCTTGAGCGGGTGAGAGCCAACCCCGGCGCCATTGGCAGGATCCCGCCCCCCCCAACCCCCCGCACCCGCCCGCCACATCCCGCCGAGCCCCTGCCAGCCTCCCCGGGGCATGGTGGCCGGTCTGCGTCCCCTCCCTGGGGAGGGCAGCCTGGGACACGGGGGCTTGGCATGGGGACGTCCCCAGTGGTCGGGGACCCACGTTGGGGCCGTTTCAGCCTCCCGGCTGAGTGGGCAGCGGTGGAGGGCTGGGTCGTCATATGGGTGACTCAGCCGCGGAGGAGTGCCCGTGTTTGCTCCCGCGTTGCCATAGGGATCCCAGCAAACAGCGCGGCCCCACAGCACCGCTTGGTGCGGGGCTGCCCACCGGCGCAGGGAGCGCGGTGCCCGCACCCCCGGGCTCCGGCTGGCACCGCCGCACCGAAACCCCCGGGCTCAGGAGGGGCGGGGGGGGG